AGAAACAGTAGCAAGGAGGCATGGAGAAAGAAGGGACTAGTTTTGATTGAGAGTCAGGAAAGACTTCACAGAAGTCATAAGGTTCGAGCTATGTCTTAGAAGGGGTGTTGCTGGAGAATGGAATGAGGAAGTTTTCCCAGACAGGAGTGGGAAAATAAGAAGGTGAATGGTAAGAAGTTCAGTGTGGCTGGAGCAGATTATATAAGGGAGAATAAAGAGATGATGAAACTTCAGGGATTGGTCTGGCTTAGATTTTGGAGAACGTTTTATGGCATGTTAGGGAGTTTATATTTAGGTCATATAAATTGGATAATGGTGGCGTGATCTTGGCTCACTGTAACCTCCGCCTCCCGGGCTCAAGCAATCTTTCTACCAGCTTCCTGGGTAGCTGGGGGTTACAGACATGGACTACCATGCCTGGTTAATTTTTTGTAGAGACAGGGTTTTGCCGTGTTGCCCACGCTGCTCTCAAACTCCTAGACTCAAGAGATCATCTCACCTCAGCCTCCCCAAGTGTTTGGATTACAGGCATGAGTCACTGAACCTGGCCAAATTTTCTTTTTTTGAGACGAGGTCTCGCTATGTTGCCCAGGCTGGTCTTGAACTTCTGGGCTCAAGTGATTCTCTCCAGCCTCCAGAAGTGCTGGGATTATAGGTGTGAATCGCTTTGCCCAACCAAGAATCATTCATATTTAAAGGTGTGGTTTAGTTCTTTCTTCAACTTACTTTTCATAGGATTCCATTGTACAATTCCATTCCATAAATTATCCTTCTGTGACTGGTGGACATTTGTGTCATTTTCAACTTCTCTTATTGTTAACAAACAGTGCTTTTGTGAACTTTCTTCTGTGTGTCTCCTGGTACACAGGTTAAGAGATTTTTTTATGTACAGTTGACCCTAGCAAGGGTCCACCTAATGCAGCTTTTTATCAGTAAGTATATTGGGAAATTTGGGGGGATTTTTGACAAATTGAAAAAACTTACAAATTATGTAGCCTAGAAATATCAAAAAAAATTAAGAAAAATTTTGGAGGTATGTCATCAATGCATGAAACACAGCAGATACTAGCTTATTTTATCATTTACTGCCATAAAATATAAACAAATCTATTGTAAAAAGTTAAAATGTATCAAAATTTATGCAAACACTTGGAGACTGGACATGGTGCTACTCTCAATGGAGAGGACTGTAAACAAATATAATGATGCAATGTTAATTAACTGTGATTTATACTACACTACTATAATAATTCTAACATTCTGTTGCTACTATGGTAAATTCAGATTTTTTTGAGAATCTGCGGAAAATGCTGTGTGATGCTAATCATCTCCTGGTGAGCAATTTGTGTCTCCAGTAAATTGCACATCACAGTAAAAAGTGCTTTCTCCTAATTCTTGTGTAATCTCTTATATTTGTTGTAATATCATAAATGTTGAATAACATTGTGAGAGTCATATGAAGTGCTGCTAGTGATGTTGGAAGTGCTCCCAAGCAGCAGAGAAATGTAATGACATTACAAGAAAAAGTTGAGTTGCTTGATATGTAGCTTAGATAGAGGTCTGTGGCTATGGTTGCCCACTATTTCAAGATAAGTGAATTCAGCAAAAGGACTGTTATAAAGAAAATAAAATTCATGACCAGGTGAGGTAGCTCTTGCCTGTAATCCCAGCACTTTGGGAGGCCGAGGTGGGCGGATCATTAGAGGTCAGGAGTTTGAGACCAGCCTGGCCAACATGGCAAAACCCCTTTTCTACTACAAATACAAAAATTATGGCTGGGTGCAGTGGCTCATGCCTGTAATTCCAGCACTTTGGGAGACCGAGGCAAGTGGATCACCTGAAGTCAAGAGTTCAAGACCAGCCCGGCCAACATGGTGAAACCTCATCTCTCCTAAAAATACAAAAATTAGCTTGGCATGGTGGTGAGCCATGTAATCCCAGCTACTTGGGAGGCTGAGGCAGGAGAATTGCTTGAACACAGGAGGCGGAGGTTGCAGTGAGCTGAGATCACAGCATTGCACTCCAGCCTGGGCACCAGAGCAAAAACTCCATCTCAAAAAAGCAAAATGAAATACAAATACAAATACAAAAATTAGCCGGGCACGGTGGCAGGTGCCTGTAATCCCAGCTACTCAGGAGGCTTAGGACAACTGCTTGAACATGGGAGGCCGAGGTTGCAGTAGCCAAGATTGTGCCACTGCACTCAAATCTGGGCAACAGAGGGAGACTCTATTTCAAGAAAAAAAGAAAAAAGAAAGAGAAAATTCATGAATTTGTAGCTATAGCTATGCCAATGAGTGAGAAAACTTTGCACCTTTTGCAAAATGCCTATTTATCTCATATTGAAAATGCAGCTCTTACGTGAATGTAGGTATGCTATAAGAAAGGCGTACCTATAGAATACGATTTGAGAAAAAGTGAAGTCATTATATGATAGCATAAAGCATAAGGAAGGTAAAGCATCTAAAACTGGAGAATTTAATGCCAGCAAAGGATGGTTTGATGCTTATAGAAAGAGATTTGACTGTAAAAATGTATAACAGGATAACAGAAGTCAGCTGTTGCTGACCAAGAGGTAACATAAGAGTTTCTAGGTGCCATTAAGAAAATCATTGTGGAGAAAGCATGTCTGTCTGAACAGGTTTTTAATGCAGATGAAAGTGCCTTATTCTGAAAAAACAAAACAAACAAAAACAAAAAACAAAAAAAAAATCTACCACAGAGGACATTTTTTAGAAAGGAAGAGGAACAAGCACCAGGATTTTAAGCAGAAAGGTATAGGCTAACTCTACTCTTTTGTGCAAATGCATTCAGGTTAATGATGAAGACTGTCTTTATAAAGCTGCTAATCCCTGAGTCTTGAAGGGAAAAGATAAACACCAGCATCTAGTCTCTTGGTTGTACAAGAAGGAGTGGATGAGAACCCTTTTTCTGGATTGAGTCCATAGATAACATTGTTCCTGAAATTAGTACTTTGCCAGTAAGGCAAAGTTTTTTTGATATTGGACAATGACCCTGGCATTCCAGAACCTCTTGAGTTCAACACCAAAGGCACTGAAGTAGTCGACTTGTCCTCAGTCACGAAGTCTCTAATTCAGCCTAAAGATCAAGATCATAAGGATGTTTAAGGCTCATTACACTTGGTATTTATGGAAACGATTTTCAACACTGTGTGACAGAATCCTGATAGAATATCATGAAAGCCTGGAAGGATTACATCATTAAAGATGTTATTGTTGTTATAGAAAAAGTTGTGAAAGCCATGAGGCCTGAAACAGTGAATTCCTGCTAAAGAAAACTGTGTCTATATGTTGAGCATGACTTCACAGGATTTATGACAGAACCAATCAAAGAAATCATGGAAAAGATTGTGAATGTGGCAAAAATGGTGAGAGAGTGAAGGGTTTCAAAATAAGGGTTTTGGAGAAGTCTAAGAGTTCATAGCACAACAGAGTAATTAGAACACATTTGATGGAGATGAGTGCTTCTGAATCAATGCCAGATGATGAGGAAGAAGACATAGAAGCAGCACCAAAAAACAAATTGACATTAGACAATCTGGCGGAAGAGTTCCAATTATTCAAGACTGCTTTGACTTCTTTTATGACATGGACCCTTCAATAATATGGGTGCTAAAACTAAAGCAGTCAGTAGAGAAAGGATTGGTACTGTATAGAAACGTTTTTAGAGAAATAAAAAAGCAAAACAGCAGACAGAAATTACTATGTGTTTCCATAAAGTTGCATCAAGTGTACCTGCCTCTCCATCCTCCCTATCCACCACTTCCGCCTTTTCTGCCTTTGCCCTCCTCTTCCACTTCTTCATCCTACTTAACGTGAAGACCAAGAGGAAGCCTTTGTGATTATATATTTCCACTCAGTGAATAGTAAATATATTTTCTCTTAGGATTTTCTTAATAGCATTTTCTTTTCTCTAGCTTACTTTAAGAATTGTTAAGATAAAAAGTGTAGCCGAGTTACATTTTTGAGGAGTCAGAAGTTATACATGGATTTCCAAATGCATGGGGTATTGGCATGCCTAACCACCACGTTGTTCAAGGGTCAGCTTTCTTTGTAATTGCCAATATTCAGTTGTTTCTGATCTTCAAAAATTGGCTTCATATGGTTTAGAAAAGTATCTGGGAGAGAAAGTGCTGGTTAATAGAACTGTTTCCCCAAGTGATTATATGTTTACCCTCCCGCTGGTGAGATGAGTGTTTCTTTGGCTCTCCATCTTTGTCAACATTTGATACTATCATGTTTTTATACTTCTGCTAATATGATACATGTGGAGCTATCTCATTGTTATTTTAATTTTTATTTCACTTAATTACTACTGAGGTTTAGTATCTTTTCATTTGTTTGTGGACCATTGTGTTTCTTTTCCTGTGAAATTCCTGTTTTTGCTCAGTTTTCTGTTGCAGTGTTTAGGGAGCTGACTCTTACTGAAATATGAATTGGTTAGTAGAGCTTAATAAATATTTATTGAGCCAATTCTTAGCTTTAGATTAGCTTATATAAAGATGAGTAAGATAGATGGACTCTTACCTCAATTTGTATTTAGTAAAGGTTAAACTTAATTTGAAGCTCCATAGTTCTATTTCTTTCCTCCATTCAAATATAGATTAGCTGTATTAATTATTTATAACTTTGCCTTTCTGATTCAGTGTACTCATTTGGAAGATAATCAGCTTTGACTAGTTAATATCTAGTTTCCCTTTTACCAGTCTATGTAATTATTCTAATATTTCTTCTTGTTGGTTTTTCAAACTTAGAAATATGTTACTTTTATTACAGTGGTAAATATAAATAATTGTGTTTTTCCTTTTCATCAAAAAAGTTGGATTTTGCTTCTGTAAGGTGTAATTTGTCACTTCTCCAGAGACCCCTCTCTTAGATGGATTTCCCAGACAGATATTACTACCTTTGATTTTAAAAATTCTTAAAATGCTATTAAACCTATATACTCAATCCTAATGTATATGAATTATTCTTCCTCAGAGTGAAGATACACAACAGCAAATCATCAGGGAGACTTTCCATTTGGTATCTAAGAGAGATGAAAATGTTTGTAATTTCCTAGAAGGAGGATTGTAAGTAAAGCATTTCATAGATGTTTCTAAGTTTTGACTATATGATTAAAATATCTACTGTTTAATCAGTTTATGGTAACAGTTTCCTAATTCTGATTAATTGGATTAGGTGAATTAATTGCCACCTGTATCAGCTATAAATCTAACTTAAATAATTATTTTTTAAAGGTATGCAATCTTTTTTCCTCTTAAAAATTTTGGAAGGGCATTTTATGTAAATATCATATATGGTAAAAATTCAAACATTACAGGGAAGTATAAAATGTAAAATAACAATCTCTCAACCTTAGTCCTTCTACCCAATTTCTTGTGTATCCTTCTAGAAAATTGTTTGTTTTGACTGACATATAAAGTATATGTGTTGACTAACATACAGCCTTAAAATTTTTATTTGTGAGATCACACTGTATGCTTATTTGCATGTTGCTGGTTTTACCTTACTATCTTCAAAATCTTTGCATATAAACACATCTAGGGCAAGTTTATTCTTTTTAATGACTACAGAGTATTCCTTTGTGTGAATGTTCATAAAAATTAGATTACATTCTTTATTTTACTGTTACAAGACTGAAGTCTGTTTTTCAAATGTACCTAATTCAGCTAATCAGTTTTTCTATTTTTAAAATGAATAAGAGTTACTTATAATTAGCTTGCCAAACATTGTAATTAAATACTTTTAAACTAATAACTTCCATGAAAACAGTTTGTTCTGAAACATAAATCAGTCAGAGAAACCTAGACTTTTCTTTATTTTAGTGTGTATGATGGATGAGAAATAGTCTGGATAACAGGGAATCCATGGTCACAAGTTACTTTTTATCATGTGGAACACTTACTTGGGTTTCCTAAAAGGTTATATATTGCTGTCCTTATGTGTAATACACACTTACAAATTTTGCTGTTAACTCAAGGCTTCTAATTTAGTAATTGAGACAAGTATACCTGCTTCTATTTTTGTATTTTACTGGTACTTATTTAACGTTAGTTGTCCTGGACATTACTGTCACTTCCTTTCATCCTGGCCTCTTGATTTCTTATCTCCTAGAAAACTTACCACCCAGCACAGTGTACTGCATATAGATGTAAGAACCTGAATAATCTAACTAGGGTGCTATTTGAATTAGAAATTGTGGCTTGAAATTGTGATTGTTCTTTTCTAACCTCACAAAAAGTAGAAAGCAAATACTGCTTTCTAGGCTGGACACCTAGTTTTATCCTAGTTTTGTCAATAACAAGCTTATTTCCTTGGACTGATCACTTAAATTCTTGGGCCTCAGTTTTCTCCTCTATAAAATGAGTTATTTCTTAAACCTATGGTTTTATATGATACATTACATTCTGTGTATGAATTTTTATTAATATTATAGCTTAAAGATAAAATTATATTTTTAAAGGCAAAATATGTACTTGCCACATTAATATTTTTGCCTGCTGTTAATAGCATTAATGGTCTTTCTGAAACTTAGATTCTTCAGAAGTTTGCTTTCCTTTTAAAGTAAAGCAAAAGTTTAAGGTAATCACTAAATCGCTGATTCAGAATGAAGTGAAGCCTCCTGTTTGTGTTCTTTTTGCCTCTTTCAGGGAACAGTTGCAGTCATGGTCTGTAAATACACTCAGAATCTTTAAATTGTGTCTAGGTATTTTAAAATTAAGTATCTTCTCTAGAAGAGTATTTAGCATAGTAGGAATATTTTATTTTTGTCAAAGATCATTTCTATTTTTACTGTTAGAGGACATGGAAGTAGTATATACCTTGAGAAGTTTTTTCTGCAGAACTTGTAAGTTTAGTATTACTTTTACTGAGTAAGAAATAGATGCTGGCACTATTTCTTACTCAATAAAAGTACACCTAGCACTTTGGGAGGCCTAGGTGTGCAGATCTCCTGAACTCAGGAGTTTGAGACATGGCTGGGCAACATGGTGAAACCCTGTCTCTACTAAAAATACAAAAATTAGCCAGGTGTGGTGGTGTACACCTGTAATTCCAGCTACTTTGGTGGCTGAGGCAGGAGAATCACTTGAAGTCAGGAGGCAGAGGCTGCAGTGAACTCAGATAGTGCCACTCCATTCCAGCCTGGGTAACAGAGTGAAACGCCATCTCAAAAAAAGAGAAATAGATGCTGTTTTCCTGTATTCTGTTGAAATGGATGTTTATTTACTTTTGGTTACATATAGCCTTGATTGTAAATTATGTAAGTGTTTAGGGGTCTTTTAAGAAGGTGAATTCATTATTATAAACTTAACTATTAAATAGCTAAACTATATTTTAAAAAATATAAGATATTTGGAATGATTCCTAAATTATTATTTTTAAAATACTGAAATTTCAATCATAAATAAGAGTATTTCATGAAAGAATTTAGTATCTTAGCTCAGTTTTCCTGCATTTATATTTCAAAACAATGTAATTTTGGAAGAGAACTTGATGGCAAATCCGTCTAAAACTTAAGAAATGTCATTCTTTTTTTTCTAGTTGATAATCAGTCTTAAGCTGTGTAATTTACTGTGATGTATGGAGTTAAATTTAGTAAGCACTTGAAAATGGCCCATGATCTAATTTCTGCCTACTTCTCTGACTTCATCATTTACTAATCTTTTCTTATCTACCGGCCTTTTTTCTCTTCCCTGACCATACATACTTTGTTCTTGATGAAATCCCTTTTAATTTCTTACTACCTTAGCTTGAAATGCTCTTCTGTAAATTTTTTCCAAGTCAACTCTTTATCATTAGATCTCAGCTTAAATGTCACTCTTGCTTAGTATTCAGCCTAAAGTAGGGAACCCATCAATATATCATCATTGTATTTTGATTCTCTATGTAACACTTGCCACTATCTGATAGCGTTCTGAAGTGTTTGTTTGTTGCTCCTTCCCCACTACCAGTGCCTGGCACATAGCAGTTACTCAGAGAAGAAATTAATGAATGAACAAACTGAAATTAAGCACTGGCTTCTTTTACTTGACATTTCTGAAAAAAACAGCCATCTTAATTTACCTAGTCTCTGAAAAAGTTCACTTAAATGCTATGCCATTGAATGTCACCTTTCGTTTGAGAAGTGATTTTTAAACAAATTGTCAGTCTGCTCAAGCTAATGAAAATGTTTTGCATTTTGTTTCCAATAACATTACAATTTTTTGTCATTTAGATTAATTGGAGGATCCGACAACAAACTGATTTATAGACATTATGCAACGTTATATTTTGTCTTCTGTGTGGATTCTTCAGAAAGTGAACTTGGCATTTTAGATCTAATTCAAGTAAGTTAACACTTGCTTCTTATTATCTTAAATAACAGTTTGGCATTTAAATTTTTAAAAACTTATGTGTTCTAAATTTTCTGAAATGATGTTAGTAAGAAATAAAACGTTTCATAATAGATATTGGGAGGGTAAAAGGCGAGCAAAGGATGTAGAAACAAGCAAACATTTGATCTGATTAAAACTATCATAACTAATTTCATCATTACTTTTTATCTTATTCATGTAAGTTACAGCAAGGAGCTGAAGACTCAGGTCTCTTAATTCATGTATACAAAACTAACCCTAAAACCCAGCTCTCACTGTCTCCTGAAAATCTTTCATAATGTTCCTGGAACTCAAGGTCAGTCATCAGCAGATTTCTTTTTATCTTCAGCCTCTTCTGTTAATGTTACTTCACATTTTGTTCTAAATTAAATCTTGCTTCCCTGATGACACTACCTGCAACCCTTTCAAGTAGAGGCCATTTTCTCCTGCTTCATTATATGTTTGAGCCTGGAGGTGTATTCTTAGCCTCACGTTGCATTTTCCAGACCATTCTCTCTTCTCAAACACCTCTAAATTTTCTCTCATGTTACTAGACTATACCACCTTCTGTCCATTTAGTTATAATCATCACACATTTCCATCTGGCATTCATTGGAGATTTTGTTTAGAATTGTCAAGGGTCTGAGATTTGCTCTACTTGCAAGCTAAGAAGTTAACCTGCTGTAGTTTCGTGGATGCTGGCAGACGACAGGAGACTTTTGGGCCAGAGACAAAGGATCTTATTACTAACAGCAAAAAAAAACATTAGCTAGAATAACAGCATTTGCTTGCACTAATTCTCTAATTCCCGAGAGGTGATATGAAGAAGGCCAGATGATACCTGCACACACAGTGGATTAAATGACAGATGAGGAACCCCAAGCTTAAGGAACTGGAATCTTTTATAATGGATACTAAGCATGTCTGCCCTCGTTTGGGAGGAAGAGACTGTCTCTTCTAAGAGTGTAAAGAAACCTATCCTTTTCTGTGGAAGAAGACACTCTGTTTTCCAGGGCTGTTTGATACACTAGCATGGTTAAAAAGCCCAGAACAAAGACAGTCACTGCCTTTGCTCACAATGTGTACAGAAACACAAGATCCCTGGAGAATTGTCTCCTAATAGATTTTGGTTCTTGGTTCACTGGCATTCATTCCAGTACCGCTTGTTTTGTAATTTTTGGTGATTTCATTGTTCACATGTATAATTCTTCCAATATCCTGGTGTCTTCAAATCTGAAACTCCTCTCTTCCAGTAAATTTTGCCCTCCACTCCATCTCACTATGGACCCGTTTCTAGATTTTGTCTTTGTCTAAACCGTAACCCCTCCATAATCTCAATTTCACATTTTTGAAGTGTTTTAGGCCCATTGGAACCCTCAGTTTTAAAAATCTATAATTTTTATACTGCCCCTGATTTTACTGATGTCTTACTTTCCTTATCCAATTTAAATTTTATAGTTAGTCATGATGGTGATATAGCTTTGTGTGCACTTAACTCCTTGCCCATACCCGTACATCTGAATATACCTAGAGGAAAAAATTAAGTAACCATATTTACCAGTCTCACTTTAAATTTATGATTCCTTAGCTCAGCTTCCTTTAGGCTACCCAAGAATCATTTGCTATTTCCCTGGTCTATTTACTCTCCCATACTTCTAGATGACTATTCATATAGTCTCCTCTCTCCTAAAACCTCTAGCACTTCTGGCACCTTGCTTCCCAGTGCACAGAGAATATTGGTTTTTGAAATTAGCAAGAAGGAGTCATGGTTTGAGCTCTAGTTGGTGTTATAGAATAGACAAGACATTAACCCCAGCAGACAACTTAGGTAATAAATTCTTAGCGCTGTGGCTAAGGCTTTAAAAATAAAAACACTGTGGCCAATTGTAGTTCACATCTGTAATCCTAGCACTTTGGGAGGCTTAGCTGGGCAGATCACTTGAGCCCAGGAGTTTGAGACCAGCCTGAGCAATATGGCAAAACCCCATCTCTACAAAAATTAGCCAGGCATGCTGTCACGCATCTGTAGTCCCAGCCACTCTGGAGGCTGAAGTGGGAGCTAGGGAGGATGGCTTGTAATAAGCCAAGATTGTGCCACTGCACTCCAGCCCAGTAACAGAGTGAGACTCTACTAATAAAATAAAAAAGGAGATCAATGATAAATGGAGCTATTCATATGCCACATTACTCTTAAATCCGTAATTCATAAACTGGGTTTTTGGGAGGAGCTAGGTATCAGAGTTACATGAAACCACTAAGTAATCATGGTATATATTCCTGGTATATGCTTTTTCTTTGTTTTGAAAATTGGTGGCAGTGAGGAAATGAAAGTAAATATGTGTGTATTGTGAGGTAGAATACAAATTTTCATAATATTTAATGCCTTAAGTGGAGACTTGAAAGAAATTTTGAGCCTAAGGTAAAGGTACCCCAAGATCACTTGGGTATATGTTCACTTTCCTCCTGGGGCCTACTTGAGAAACACTGCTAGGTTTTGTTTTATTTTCTCAAGGCTTTTCTAGAAAAGAAAAAGAGACCAAATTTTACTTTTGATAACATTTAAGGGTTGATCAGGACTATGTATTGCATTGCCTTGTAACTCCGTTTATTACTACATTTCTTAGTTTATCTGACCTAGGGGAGTAGTTAATTCATTTTATCATTATGTCAAGGGAGCATTATATTTTTACAGAAAAAAAAGTTAATAAAGAACTGTGCTTTCTATTTCTCTCTCAGTTACCCATGACTGAAGAGAGTGTACACAGGCACACTATGTTCCAAAACACTGTTTTTATTTACCTGAGCCTAGCCACTAGAATTATGGGAAGAAAAACAGGAGAAGGTATACCATTTCAAATTTAGTCTCTTATTGAAGAGAAATACTGCAATTAAGAAAGACCAAAACAAATGCGTCTTTTCCTAGAAGTAAATCTGAAGTATTTTACACTCGTGTCCTGAGATTAAGTTGTCACCATTGATTATTATTTTGATGCTATGGTTGATCTTATGAGAAAATAGTTCTATCTCCAAAGGAGATTAAATAGGGAGTTTTCAGAGAACAAGCATGCTATTAGTATATCATATCTGAAGTAAATTCTGTCATGTACTCATGGAAAGTGTAAACTATCTTTTGTGTTTTGCAAAATTTTTTAGCCATGCTTTACACTTGATCATTTGTTTTGGTATTAGATAAGATACAGAAGAGAAGATTTCAGGAGGACTTTGTCATTTTCTGTTACTAAAGTACGCTAGAGCTGTTTTTACAATACCCCTGAGTTACCACATACTGAAGTATTATGTCACAAAAAAGAAGAGTTCTGTAATTCACCTTACAGGTACTATGTCTGTTCCTACCAGGAACATGTTAGAAGTTCTGTGGTTGTGATCTTTCCCCTTCCATTACCACAGTTCATTAAATACTGAAGAGGGAGTGTACTGAGCATACGTGAGTTGGTCACTTTAAACACATTGGTTGAATAGACAAAGGTGGAAGTGAGTAGCTTGTTTCTGCTTCTGTTTCATCAAATAGCTATTCAGAGAGAACTGATTTTCTTAATTTGTTCATCCTCTAGTTTTGAGAAAGACAATTTTAATGTCAAAAGTAAAAGTGAAAAATTATAAACCAAGGGAGTTTACATCAAAACCTCTTGGTCTTGCGTATTTTTTAGAGAACAGATCAAGAAAACTTGACATTTTACTATTAAACATATGCTTATAATTTTGATATTTTAAATATTAAAATGATACCATTCGTATGATAACTGGAAGCATATATTTTAATGCAGAGAGTTAGTGTCTCTAAGGTATGCATATGTTGTTCCAAATATGATTTTGTATCTTGTATAAAATCTGGGAGAAGACATTATTAGTAAATTCAGTATGGCATTTACACCAGTATTCCACCAGTACTGAATTTACATCAGTATTCCACAGAATTTACACTAGCTACCCAGATGAATTATCAGTTTTATGTTTTCTTTTGTTTCTTTCTAAAAATTCCTTGTAAGTTTAGAAAAAAGGGATGGACATATTTTGTTCTTGAATATACCATTTTAGTGTGATACTAAGTGATATATATGCCATATATGCTAGAGTTAATAGCTAGCTTTTTAAGGAGTCCTTTCTGTTGTAACATATTGTCAGTGGAAGTGTTAAAATATTTACAGGATGAGAATAGAAGTTTATTAAATATTAATGTTGGGTTGAGTTATTTATAAGCAGTCATATTGTCCTTAATTAGTTTGTTATGCCAAGCTGATAATGGGGACATATAAATTCACTGGGTAATTCCAAATTTCTGTTATAGGTTTCTGTACCACATGTAACAGTGATCAGAGCATCAGTCTTACTCAGTTGTAGCTAGTTAAGAAAACAACAAAATTGAGAACTAAGAGCTAAACTTTTCTTTAGGTTTAGAAAGATACATTCTGACTGTGATGTTAGAATCTGTATTTAAACTGGAACTCCATATATAACATTTCTTATTATTACAGTACTGTTAGACTAGCTTTTGTGGAATTACTTTATTTGTGGTTGCTAATGCTAATTTAGTATGGTATTGAGCAAGTTATTTATTCTTTATAGAACTTAATTTTTTTATTTATGAAGTGTGCTTGTTTCAACATGTTGCCTACAGAAATGAGGTTGTTAGAAAACTTTGTGAATTAAAGCTATCTATTATCTTGTAGGGGTTAAAACCATTCAGGCTCTGCCATATTCTAGCTATGTAATTTTGGGCAAGTTATTTAACCTTGTTGACCGTAATTTTCCTCATCTGCAAAATAGGGATAATGATTATGCCAACTGACAGAGTAGATATGAGCATTAAAAAAAGTATTTCATGTGAAACCCATGACTAAATGAATAACATGTCAGTGGTTTTTAGCTAACACTATCATTAAGGCATGTATTTATAAGAAAGGCATATAAAATATTATTTTGTTACTCCACAAACTGAATTAAATAAATGTTTT